TTTAATTTACTTAAGAAGAGTCGAAGTAGAACCGAAGAGGAACCGAAATGGAACCGATAGAACCGTCCCCATCCCTAAGTACACATAATTCAGGGCAGACGACTTAATTTCGATGAAGAAGAAACGGAAGAATTTAATGGGATGACCGCACGAGAAAGAAGAAGATTTAACGCCCAGCCAGACGACAATTCAAAAATTGCATATTTCGAGCATTCGTAGACAAAGGAAAATCTTGGCGAGAAAAATCGGTATGTTTAGCTATAAGAAACATATTTATTTTGTTAGAATATTTTACTAAAACTATTTTAGCGCCTTCGTCGTTTCTTAACATACCTTTTCGTTGGACAATGGTCAAAAACTAGTTGGCTGTGGTCTCAACGTAGCTGCCCTATCTGTACCTATTATTCTTGCTTCGACTTTATACAAAAATGACGAAGGAAAACTAAAAATTTTTTCATTAGTGTTGAAATTCGCTGATTTTCATGTATTAATAAATTGCGATAGAGTAATATTGATTATCGTTATATTATTCTTATATACTTTAACAGATATTTATCAATTTTTTTACCAGCAACAGTCTGTGTATTTCTAGCGAAGTTTGTTTCAATGGCTCAAATTTAAGTATTATAAATTTTTTTAACAATAGCTAATTATTTGTACTAGGCTAGATCTACGTTTCTGATTATGCTATATAATAAAAAATAAAAAAAAAAAAGTACTTATTTTTTCCTAACGAAAGATTTCCAAACTAAATAAATTATGAAATATCAAGAAATTGCATGAGACTTATTACAAGGGTCTAATGATTCATCTGCCGAATCTGAGGTAAGGGTATCAACCGCACCTATCCCCTTATGACGAGGATAATGATGTTGAAACATACTATGATGATGGGCAAACGACTGGGATGCTTCATAGTATACACGGATAATGACGGGGGGCAATTACTTAAATTTTAGGTACCGGTTAATTATCTGTTATAAAAAAAATTTCAGATTTTTTAAAAAAAAAACCTTAAAGTTATCCGGCATATTTTTAAATTTCGGATTTATATAAATTTATCAAAAAATATAAATTTAATATTATATCCATTTAAACCTTTATTTATAAAAAAAATAAATCAAAATCTTTTATTAGTATATGGTCCGGTGCAAAACGATTTGTACTACTCCAAAAAAAACACCAATAAAAAAATTTTATTAAACAATTTTTTTTTTTTAATAATTCAATACGTAATATAAAAAATGTGAAAATCAAATCAAATCACGTGAGCATCATCAAAACTATAGCTTCCCCAGATCTTCTCCAGCAATACCATCAAAAAAGTGAGTTGGTTCATGACAGTTGTGGCAACTCTGAGCTTATTTAAACTTTATATATGATATGGTCTGAACTAATGTATTTTGTATTGTGTCTTTTTTTTCATATTCAATTTTATTTTTATTAACCAAAAAATATAATACATTAATAAAAACAAAATATATAAATCTTTAAAGCTATCATCTGAGTTTATAACTTATGAATCTAATAGTATTAAGCAACTCAAAACTTGCAATAATTTTTATCAAAGATTTGAGAAAAAATAAAAAATTTTTATAAAACGTCAACTTATTAATATCTTAGAAGTTGTTGATATTGATTTTTTAAGCAAAATAATTATAAATCTTTTAGATAATATATTATCTAATAATCAAGAATTATATTTATATTTTCAGGTGAATATTAATTCAACTAACAAAATTTCAAATAAGAAATTTACAAATAAGATTATTAAATTGATTGAAGATGCAGATAGATATCACTAAAATTACAATTATCAATACAAAGATAAGAACAATACCATATATTAGTATTTTTGCTTCTAAAGAGATATTTTAGCATCTAAACTATGCAAACATCCCAATTTATTTAAACAATAAAACACTTTATCTATCAAAAGATTTGCTTATTTTAGTTTTATAAAGATATTTATTGATAAACTACATAGAATTCTAAAGTAAAAGTTTTTTATAAGAATCTGTATATAAGATTAGTTAATAAATTTGTATTAAAAGTATTAAAAATTTTATAAAGAACAATATAAATCTTTCAGAAAAAATATATAAATATCTTATTAATAATAATCTTAATATATCAATAAAATAAAAACAGATTCACTTTTAGTAGTTAAAGTTAAGATAAGAATAATATAAATATTGCAAAATTGTATTTAAATCTATACATATTTAGCTATTAGAAAATAATTATAATATAATTTACAAAAAATAGAACCAGTTTATGCATTAGTATTTAAAATAGTTATTCTTAAACAAATGAAGAATATAGGAATTCATATTAATGAATATGAAATAAATATTATTTATAATACTAATAATATGAGATTTGAATTATATAGTAGTGATCATAAGTATTTAACTCTTCATAATTCTTAAAGTTAATTAATAATACCCATTAAAATTTTCCAAAATTCTATAATAACAATGTTGATTATATGTAAAATTATAAGTTTATATAACATATAAATCAAAAATTAGATGATCAATGAATTTTACATGTAAAATGCTGATATTTTTTAATAAATTAAACAAAATATATTTCTTTATATAATTTAAATAATGACTGAAATAGAATTTTAAAAATATAGTTACTTTATATCTATTGTAATAAAATTATAACATTTATTATATTTAAAAATATTATTTAAATAAAGATTTTAATAATAAACAAAGTTATAATATTTGCTAAAAGGTCCATATTATAGTGATTTTTTAGATTTGCAATTTGATAAATCAATTTTCTTTCAGCAAAATGCTAATGTTAATTTTATATATAATTTCTATAAAAGTGACTTTTTGGCTTATATCTATAAATTTTTTAGAAAAGAAATCTTAGAGTAAATTTGACAAAAAATTAATAAATATAAACATTATTCATAAATTAAAAGGAAGAATACAGTATTATTGAAGTTCTCTAGATATCTGTGTAATCTGTTTAAAATTCTATAAAAAATGTGTAATAAACTCCTAAAAAATTAATATATTAAAAAAAAAAATCTATATATTTAAGGAGTTTAGGTGTTAAATAATAAAAAATAAAATTATTTACATAAAAAAAGGTTTTTTTTTTTGAAATATAAAATCTACTGATTATCTAACTTCTAAATTATATATGATATAAATCTATAATTTTACAGATTATCAAAGTTAGTATTGAACTTAAATTTAAAAAAAAATTTAATAGATATTATTAATTAACTTTAAAAATTATAAAGGGTTAAATACTTATAACCACTACTATATATTTTACATGCAAAAGTAAATAGTACTGAATATTCATTATCTTATCTATTTTTAAAAATGATGATAAATATAAGAAAAAAATACGAATAGGTATATTGCAAATATTTCTTACTATTTTTTGAGATAAAGAAATGTAATCTTTTATTTATAGATAAAGATTATATATAGATCAATGCAGTATAATTTACATAGAAGAGTACTAAGATTCAGCTATATAAATAACATATTAAAAGATCTATAATAATTAGACTATTAAGCAATAAAACTACTAAGTTTAATTTCAATTTACTTTCAAAAATTGGAAGAAGATTTCTTTTTAATAGTATTCAACAAATTTCTTATTTTTGTTCTAAAGAATTAAAAAAATAATTATAAACTTTAATGGAAAAACATTTGCACTAGTATCCACTAATTTTAATAAAAGAAGTATTTTTGAATAAAATAAATATTTATAAAATATCTATTTAGAAAATATATACATTTTATTATATTATTTCATTGATTTTACTTTAGATATATTTGTAAAATAGAATAATATAGTGAATCAAAATAGTTATTGTTAATGTGCAATCCTTGCGAATTGCGACAGTTAGACGGGGTGTTCGAGTGGTAATTCTTTAAGTTTACGTAGTGACTCAATTCAGTTTATCTCAAGATTTATAATCGACACGGTAATGTATTCACGATAAAACTAAAAGCAAAGCGACTCGATTGATTCAGAGGTATAATAATATGTTTATTGATAATAATAATAATAAAGATATGAGATAATAATAGAAAAATAAGAAAATAAGAAGTAATATGAAAAGAAATCAAAGAGTTAAAGTACTAAGTGGAATGTTAGGCCAGGCGCCTCTACAAGAACTACTAGATGTGTATCCAAAAGCAGGACTAAAGGAAAACTAAAAGTGAACTAAAAGCGAACTACTGTTTTACATGATTCTATTGCTCTCTATTTATACTAAATTAATACATAGATGGATATAACAAATAAATCAAATAAATTAAATATATCTTATATGTCCGATATGTCTGACATTTAGATCTGCAATATTCTGTGTCACGTTCATCAATCCAATCCTATTACATTATTATAAGTATGTTTACCTTATGAAAATATAGTTTCTGTATTAAAAATGACCAAGTTTATCAAAGAATATTGGAAAACTATTAAAAGAAATTTTTTTGAATAAGTTTTTCTGTTTCAAAATGGATTCTGTCATATATATTTTAATGAAAATATTATTTATTCATAAATAATAAAAATTTTATAGATCAATTTAGAAAGCGTAAAGTTAGATTGAATTAAAGATTTTAAATTTAAATAAAAAATTTTATTTAATATACCTATTATAAGAACTTATATAACTGATATAAAAAATTGAATTTATGAATGTTTTTACTATTTAACTAATTATTTAGTTTGTATAAGTATTTGGATTAGCAAAAAGAAATTGTGATAACTGAATTTTTTACAAATATAAAACAAAACTGCTAATTTCTATTTTTGGTTGTAAATAATCCATTACTATATGTAAATATAAATAATAAGCAAAAATTTCACAAAGATTTACAAGTAATAGATAAATCAAATAAAAATAACAAGTTATTTAATAATTTAATTAATATTATTAAAAAAGCTCTCTATTTTCTAGAAGAACAAAAACTAACAGGTAATATTAAATAATGTAAATTTTATAGAGAAATCATTTAATCCTATTACAAAATTAGTCAAGAATATTGAATAATATCAAATAAAGCAGACTATATCATTAATATAAAAATGTCATACTGATAATACTTGCTATTTACAATAAATAACTTTTAAATTATTTAATTTGTAATATTTTATTGATAAGAAATTTAATTAAAATTTATTTATTAAAAATTATGCAAAAAATATATGTTAATTTTAACTAA